TACTATATATATATATATAGTATATTTAAGAGTTGCAGTCACCTGGAGGCACCTGTTATTTAAACCAAGGGAGGCATCATTTACAGGAAATGGTTTATATTTGCAAATCAGGGCACCCCAGAATCCAGAGCTCCAAATCGGTTGCTAGAGAAATCAACTCCAATTTCTTTTGGACAGCTTTTTTCCCCCCACTGTTATGTGTCATTTATAATGAGTTTTATTTATTAGTGTATAGATTGCTCATGTGCATAACAACCAGATTCTGTTTCTCTCAGCAGTATACGTAAAAGGAAGACCCTGGTCACAATAAGGAACACAATTCTTTCAGTTCAATAAATAAAAACGAATATGACTGGTTGCAATGGACAATTAACTTGTTTTCTTCTTCTATTTGTGTAGGCCAGCACTTCTTAACCTTTTTCGTCACAGCACCCTTTAAAAGTATGAATAATCTCGAAGCACCCCAGTCTAAAATGTAACAAAATTACGTGGTGCTTCCAAAATCTCATAATCCTCTTCAGAGAAAGGGGTCTGGTATGAATTTTTAGGGGGATACCGCACACAAGAAAAGTAGGGTTCCCACGCAAAAAGAAAAGAAAAGAGGAACTGCACACAAAAAGTGGTGTCCCCTCCTTCACATCAGAATTCCCCCTTTCACACTAGGAGTCTACTTTTTTGTTTGTAATAATTTCAAGCCACCCTTGAAGAAGTCATAAGGCAGCCCAGGATGCTATGGACACCCTCGTTGAGAAAAGCTGGTGTAAACAAATACAGTCAATAAAGATTTGACTATTGAGGATCACTTAAGAGGCTGCCTGTCTGTCCCTACAGGGACACAAACAGGACATAGGGACAAACAAGCAAACAGCATGGGGCTTGAGTGGAGTGGCTCGTCCGACATAAGCCTAATATTTGTAGAGTTAGAATGAATAGTAAAGTGTGTTTAAATACCTTAAGTGTTAGTAAAGTCTTTCAGGTAACATGGGTACACCCAAATAGAAAAAAGAATGACGACAACATCCTCACGCAGACTAAGAGGTGCGCTGTCAGCAGAACGATTGATGGCAGGATTGTGTTTATAAATGAAATGGCCTGGGCACAATAGAGGAAATGCAGAATGGAAGGAAGGCCTGGCCAGAAATGCACAGACATACAAGTGAGTCAGAAGGAAAAATATGTAACATGCAAATCAAGTATGGGATATTTAGATCCACGTATGCACAGCAGATTTCATTCAGCAGAGTCATGACAGAAGCCATATAGGAATGGAAGTCATGCCGTATTCATTGAATGCATCATTTTAAAGTCACCTGTTTGCTTAAGGTGTTTTCACCACATCACAGATCATGTGTGTCACAATATAAGGCACACAACGGGATTGTATGTATAGCATGTTCTAGCAAGTACTATTCACACAAGATTATTTACAGCCACTGGATAGAATTAATTTACCAAGTACATTTTGTTAATGATTACCAGGAACATTTTCGAAGATTTCCACTTTTCTTTGACTCTACCAAATTGAAAGACTGTCAGAACTAAAGGCTATTTATAAACTATTTGCTACTTTAGCAATAGTGAACTCCAAATACATTTGTTAAATTATCCATAAACATAGCATAGACCTTGACTGATTCAATGGACTTCAGGCAAATCAAAGAGATGCCTATACCTATGACCAATCATTCTAAGCGAGACCAGCAATCTGTCAGGTTGGATTTAGTGCTTGTGCTATGGTTTAGTTATTGTGAGATCTGAGGGTGCGTGTTAGTGGAACAGTTTCTTGGTGGTTGGAACATCCAAACAGATGTTTATGGTGAGGATATTATGCCACAGCTTTTGTCACTCGGAAATGTTAAGTAGGATATAGAAGGTTAGAATTTCATACAAAAAGTCCATTGGTAACGTTCGTTCGAATATCTATCAATTAGTATGGTGCAATCGACAGCCGAAAACAACAATGTTCCCAACAATTTTCGAAGGAGCATGTTGGAAAATGTTTCTCGATTGAACGAATTTCTAGTGTCCAGTTCAGTTTTCGTTTGGAAACTCCATTCATTCAACTCCATCCAATCCATGTTACCTTCAATTATTCCACTTCACATGGTCAAATTAGTATGTGGCCCCTAAACAACGTAAATAATTAATTTTAAACATCTTTAGATTAAAGTGACACTAAACTGTAAATGCATTCATGTACCCCAAGTATTAACAAAAATGTAGATTATTTGTGTATCACTCGGCTGTAGATCCTCTAATCATCTCTTAATTCATGCCGACACTGCCCTTCCTTCTGGAGGGGGGCTACTTTTGTTCCCCATAGTCCCTGTGTGTGTTGTTAAGTAGCCACCGCTCCAAGCTCGCTCCCGTGATGGACAACAATCTCAATACAAATTCGTAAACTAAATGTGAGATTGTAGTCGATCATGGGAGTGAGCTTGGAGCGGTGACCACTTTACAACACACATAGGGACCATGGGGAACAAAAGTAGCCACCCTCCAGAAGGGAGGACAGTGTCAGCACCAATTCAAAGATGATTTGAGGCTCTACAGCTGAGTGATACACAATAAAAAAAAAAGATACATTTTTGTTAATAGTTAAGGTACTTGAATGCATTGAACGTTTAACTCCTGATGTTAGTGTCACTTTAACCCCGGACCCCATATTTGAATATATACCCTGTAGAAATGCAGATGATTCTCTTGATTACGTTTCCTAGGAATTAGTACCCACAATCAAAAGATGGGTAACATTCCCTGACTGTTGTTCATAGGTAATTCTCAAAATCTCTGTCTATAACTAGATGAAGGAATTAAGCTGACCATACAGTAGACGATTTTCATTCAACAAAATCTAAACAGATTGCTCCATCCACTCTAAACAGTGTGAATGGGGAAACTCCATCTGCGATTATAGTATTCTGACAGAAGCAACTGCAGTTGACTGGCTGCAGTCACTGTCCAGCCAAAATGTTCAGCTCAT